GCTGCTATAGCAAAAATACCACAGGTAGGTGGCTTTAACAAACAGAAATTTATTTTCTCACAGTTTAGGAGGCTAGAAGTCCGAATTCAGAGTGCTGGCTCTAGGTGAAGACTTTCTCTCTGTGCCATCTCTGGAGGAAGGTCCTTTTCTCTTCAGCTTCTACTTCCTGGTTCCTTGGAGATCTCCATGTATCTTGGCATCTATCTTACCCCATCTCTCCTCTGCTGGCTTGTTTAATCACTTTTATATCTCAGAAGAGATTGACCCAAGATAACAGCTTACACTAACCTACCTCATTAACATAACAAAGACAATCCATTCCCAAGTGAGATTATAACCACAGGCATAAAAAAACCCATTGCCGATTGAGTCGATTTTGACTCATAGCGACCCTATAGGACAGAGTAGAACTGCCCCATAGGGTTTCCAAGGAGCGCTGGTGGATTCAAGCTGCTGACCTTTTGGTTAGCAGCTGTAGCACTTAATCACTATGCCACCAGGGTTTCTTACCACAGGTGTAGAGGTTAGGATTTAAAACACATATTTTTGCGGGGCACAGTTCAACCTGCAACATCATATTTTGTATGATTTCAACTATTTTAGATTTGTTGAGGTGCATTCTGCAGCCCAGAATGTGGTCTATCTTGGTGAATGTTCCATGTGAGCTTGAGAAGAATGTATATTCTGCTGTCGGATGAAATATTCTATAAATGTCAATTAGATTCAGTTGATTGACAATGTTGTTCAGTTCAACCATATACTTACTGATTTTCTGCCAGCGGCATCTATCAGTTACTGATAGAGGTGTGGTGAAAACGCCAACTATAATAGCGGGTTTGCCTATTTCTCCTTGCAGTTCTATCCATTTTTGCCTCACATATTTTGATGTCCTGTTGTTTGGCGGGAGCCCTGGTGGCTCAATGATTAAGTGCTTGGCTGCCAACTGAAAGGTGGCAAGTCTAACCCAGCAGCCTCTCTGTGGGAGAAAGATATGGCTGTCTGCTTCTGTAAAGATTACAGCCTTGAAACCCTATGGGGCAATTCTACTCTGTCCTGTAGGGTTGCTGTGAGTCGGAATCGACTTCACAGAACAGATTGGTTTGGGTTGGTTGTTTGGTGCGTACGTGTTAAGGATTGCTGTGTCTTCTTTGAGACTCGACTCCTTTCGCATTATGTAATGTTCGTCTTTATTCCGATAGTTTCCCTTGTTCTGAAATCTACTTTGTCTGAAATTACTTCAGCTACCCTAGCTGTTTTTTGTGTTTTAATGTTTTGAATGTCAAAGTGCTTGGTGGAAATTTGCATAGCAGGTAAAAGCAGAGACCATTTTTTTTTGTTTGTTTTTTTGGTTTTAATGAAGAGAAGTTTATTTCCTCATAGTCAAAGTAGGCTAAAAGTCCAATTTCAGGGTGTCAGCTCCAGGGGAAGGCTTTTCCTCTCTGTCAGCCTTCTCTTCGGTGTTCCCCCGGACTAGGAGCTTCTCTGCACAGGTACCCCTCTCCAAAGGACGCGCTCTGCTCCTGGCACTGCTTTCTTGATGGTATGAGGCCCCCCTGTCTTATCGCTCACTTCTGTCTTTTATATCTCAAGAGATTGCCTCAGGACACAATCCAGTCTTGTAGATCAGGCCCTGCATTACTAACACAACTGCCACCCATCCTCCCTCATTAACACCATAGAGGCAGGTTTACAATATACAGGAAAATCACACAGTACCAGGAATCATGGCCTAGCCAAATTGATACTCACATTTTTTGGGGGACATAATTTAAACCATGACATTCCACCCTTTGGCCCCCAAAATATCACATCCTTGCAACATGGAAAACATATTCACCCCATCATATCATAGCAAAAGTCTTAACTCCAAGTCCAAAATCTAAAAATTCCTCTTTATCTGTGAAATCTAGAATACAAGTTATCTGCTTCCAAAGGTACAATGGCAGAACAGGCACGAGCTAGACATTTCCATTACAAGTGGGAGAAACTAGACGAAAAGAAGTGATAACAGGCACCAAGCAAGTCGGCAGAACACATTACATTAGCCCTCAAGGCTTTGAAAATAATCCTCTGTTCTCTGAGACAGTTTACACAATGGCCCTGCCCTCCAGACTCTGGGTAGTGGCCACAGTCTCTGGATTCTGAGTGGAGGCCCCTCGGCCCTGGGCTTCAGCTCGGCCTTCCAGGCCCACTGGGACAGCAACTCTGCTCCCTTGGCTTTAGGCGCACCATTCTCCCAGTCCATCTGAGTGACAACTCCACCCTTAGAAACACCAGATGCCATGGCTCCACCCTTTGAAACCCCTGAGGTCACGGCCATACCTTTTGAGGCTGAAGCAGCTCGGCTTCTTGTGTCCCTTGTCTGTTCAGCTTCTGCTTCCTATGGCCTCTTGGCCCTGGGGCCTCACGCCCGCATCTGCCCTGCTGGGGCAAGTGTTCCAAAGCTCTGTAGCTCCACCGGTATAAGTGCCCGGAGGAACCCCACTCCACCAGGAAGCCTCTCGCGCACAGGCATTCACCTCCGTGGGTCAGCTCCAGCGCCGTCTTGCACTGGTATCCTGGTTCTGCTGCTGTTAGTTCTCTGCTGCTGCCGCTTCTCTGCTGCTGTAGGTTCTCTGCTGCTGCTGGTCCTCTGTTGCTGCCACTGCTCTATCCATTCATGGTTTTAAAACCGCTTCCACATTTTAGGTATCTGTTAGAGCAACACCCCAGTCTCTCGGTACCAAATTCTGTCTTAGTGATCTAGTGCTACCATAACAAATACCACAAGTGGATAGTTTTAATGAAGAGAAGTTTATTTCCTCACAATCAAAGTAGGCTAAAAGTCCAGTTTCAGGGTGTCAGCTCCAGGGGAAGGCTTTTCCCCTCTGTCAGCCTTCTCTTCCGTGTTTCCCCGGACTAGGAGCTTCTCGGCGCAGGGACCAAAGGACGCGCTCTGCTCCTGGCACTGCTTTCTTGATGGTATGAGGTTCCCCCAAAAGCAGAGACTTTTGAATCAGGAGAACCTAGGTGCAAGCCAGCCTTGCTGAGATGGGTGACTCTGAGCGAATGAAAATCATCCTGTGCTTCAATTTCCTCATCTACAAAATGGAGCCCTATGTCACTGAGTTGTTGTGAAGATGAACTGCGGTAATGCAATAAAGCACTGAACACATTTCCTGGTGTGTAATGTTTAATTGAGGAGCCCTGGCGGCACGATGGTTAAGCACTTGATGCTAACCAAAAAATTGGCAGTTTGAACCTACCCAGCAGCTCCTAGGGAGAAAGACCTGGCAGTCTGCTTCTGTAAAGATTACAGCCAAGAAAACACTATAGGGCAGTTCTATTCTGTAGGGTCGCTATGAGTCGGAATCGACTCGACGTCATCCAACAACAAAGTTTAATTAGTGTAAGCTTTTGATTATTATCTATTATGGGACTTTAGTCTAGATTTCTAAGTACATTGCTAGTGAGAATGTGAGATGGTTCCGCTGCTTTGGGAAAAAGTTTGATGGTTCCTCAAGACTTTAAATATGGAATTACTATATGACCCTGCAGCTCTACACCTCGGTATATACTCAGAAGAATTGAAAACAGGTACTATTCACAATAGCTAAAAGGTGGAAACAGCCCAAATGCCCATCAAGGGGTGAATGGATGAACAAATTGTGGTCTCTACATACAGTGGAATATTATTCAGCTATACAAAGAAATGAAGTACTGATCCATGCTACAGTGTGGATGAACCTTGAAAACATTATGTTCAGTAAAAGAAGCCAGACACAAAAGGTCACATATTGTATGATTTCATTTACATGAAATGTCCAGAATAGGTAGATCTGTAGGGACAGAGTGCAGATCGGTGGTTGTCAGGGGCTGAGGGTGGGGGTGGGAACGGGGAGAAACTGCTTAATGGATACTGGATTTGACTTTGGAAGGATGGCAATGGTTTTGGAATCGAAGTGCCAATTGTACAACATTGTCAATAAACTAAATGCCACTGAATTGTTTGCTTTAAAATGGATACTTTTATGTTTGTTAATTTCACCTCACTTCTTTTTTTAATGAATAGAGCAAACAAACGAATACAACAATCATTGCATACCCTCTTAATTATATGTACCCCATTCCATGAACTTAGCATTATCGTTGTAGGTTTGTGGAATAGTCGTTGTTTACTGACTGGCGTTTGTGGCTTGTGTTTGGGCCATTTCTGCTTCCTACCCTGTCATTCGGGACAACCAAGAATGCACCTGTGTGGGGTCAGGGAAATAGGAAATGGCCAATTCCCTGGCCAAACATTTGCCCTCTAAGATTCTCCTAGTTCCCTTTGCCTGTCTTGCCTGAATTCCCACCAACAACTCAGGTACCTCTTCCAAGGTGTAGAGTCAGACAGCTGAGCACATATCCCAGCTCCACTGCTCACTAGCTGCGTGGCCTTGGGCAAGTCATGTAACCTCTCTGGCCCTCAGCTTGCTCACTTTAAAATGAGGATTATGGTGATGATCCGGCGAGGTGACGCAGGTGAGGCAGCACCCAAGGAGGACGAGTAAATGTTAGCAGCCACGTCACGATTATTAATTTCCTTCCTCTCTGTTTCAGTCTGCTGACATCGACAACCACCACGCGCTCATTGAATATAATGAGGCCGAGGGCACTTTTATTCTCCAGGACTTCAATTCTCACAACGGCACCTTCGTCAATGACTGTCACATTCAGAATGTGGCTGTGAAGCTGTTACCCGGAGACATCCTGAGGTTTGGGTCTACAGGGCTGACCTACGAACTGGTCATCGAAAACCCACGCCTGGTGAGTCCCGGCCGCTGTGGGGTAGTGGGGCAGGACGTGCTATGCCGCGTCGCCTTCCCTGCAGCCTGGTGCTCAGATACAGCGCAAGGGCATCTTAGAATCTGGAGCTCGTCCAGACCACCATCACTCTGTCAGTTCACACTGCACATTGCTGCGGGTCTTGGGGAGCTCAGGTTGGAGGAGATAGTCTTAATTCCTTCTTCTGGGCATTTCTTGGAATTCCACACAAGCGTGGCATAGTAGCCATCACTTAAAAAAAAAAAAAAAACCCGTTCAACCTCATGTATTACAGAGTAGAACTGTGCCCCGTAGGGTTTGAGTAATGAAAATGGTTAAACACTGGACTACTAGCTGAAAGGTTGGTGGTTCGAATCCACCCAGAGGCTCCTTGGAGGATAGGCCAGGCATTTTGCTTCCAAAAGGTCACTGTCTTGAAAACCCTGTGAAGCACAGTTCTACTCACACACATGGAGTCGCCATGAGTCAGAATCCACTCAGTGGCAACTAACAACAACAATCTTTATGGAAGCAGATTGCCAGGCCTTTCTTCCGTGGCACCACTGAGTGGGTTCAAACCGCCAACCTTTAGGTTAGTAGTAGAGTACAAATAATTTGGGCCACCCAGAAGAGCTAACATTTTCCTGAAAAATGCACAGCTTTGTGAGCATAGTTGAGAAGCAGGCGTGTGCTTTTGAAAATTCAGAGATGGTTGCTTTGCTTTTAGGGAGATCAGCACTCCTCCACGTCCTAACTCTGTGACCTTGGCCAGCGTTCTTTGTATCTCAACCTTGTCAGTCCTTGGCACATGGCAGTATGAAAGAATATCTGTAAAGCAAGAAACTCAGTGCCCGGCCCCAAGTAGACCCCAAGTAATACATGGTAGCTGTTATTATACCCCAGATCAGGAATGTTCCTGGGGTCATGGCCTAAATCACGGCCCCAACTTAAGTGTAATATAACACAAGAATTGCCAATGAAAGCTTACTCACAAGGAACATGAGGTTCCCCAGGGAGGCAGTATAGGAGAGTGGTTAGTGACATAGGCTTTGGGTCAGAATCCCAATTCTACCACTTACTCTGTGTTTTCTTGAGGAAGCCATTTGGCCCCCTTTGAACCTTAGTTTCCTCATTTATGAAATAGGGGTGATAACAGCAGCAATCTCATAGGCTTATTCTGAGGGTTGAATGAGATGATTATAATTATAAAATTCTTAGCACAGTGCCTAGTTCATGGTGAGCACACAAATAATGTCTGCAGTGTGTGTTCACTCAGACAGGGTGCTTCTCTCCCTCCCCACCACCAAGAAAGCTGCAGAGACTGAATCTCAGTAGCCTAAATTATTTTCTGGGACAAGGCTGGGTATAAGTAAATAAAATTTAGAGCCACTAGCCAGAATCCTGGGGTGTTTGGTTCCTCGGCAGCCCTCCGTCCGCACACTGAGAGGAGCAGCAGCATCCTGCAGGCTGTGGGGACAGTGATGCCACATTTGATGTTCACATTTGGTTTTGAAAATCTGGGACAGGTTTTTTCTGCTGCTGCTGCCTTGTCCTCCTCGGACCACCATTAAAGCATGTTTGTGTGTGGAATGTGCAGAGGTCAGCTGGCAGCAATGAGGAGGGGTTCCTAACCGAGAAGGGGTCAATCTGACCAGAGGTTCTCAAGATGGGTTCTAAGGAACCCCCACCCACCACCACTGCATCAGAACCACTTGGGGAGCAGACCAGCCTGACCCTCACCCCAAGCCCAAGGACTCACACTTAGATTTACCAATAAAATACAGGACATTGGTTAAATTTGAATTTTAGATAAACAACAAATCATTTTTTAGTGTAAGTATGCCCCAAGTAAGGAGGTCTGGTGGTACAGCGGTTAAGCGCCCGGTTGCTAACCGAAAAGTTGGTGGTTTGAACCCACCAAGTGGCTCCATGGAAGAAAGACGTGGAAGTCTGCTTCTGTAAAGATCACAGCCTTGGAAGTCCTGTGGGGGCAGTTCTACTCTGTCATATCGGGTTGCTATGAGTCAGAATCGACTCAACAACATATGACAACAACAACATGCACCAAATATTGCATGGGAGATACTTATACTAAAAAATGCTTACATATTTATTTGAAATTCAAATTTACCAGGGCATCTTATATATACTATTTTTGCTAAACCTTGTTGTGATGGTCAAGGTTGTGTGTCATCTTGGTTGGGCCATGTTTCTCAGGGGGTTTGCAGTTATGATGTAGTTTGGCAGTCATATAATGATGTAATCACCTCCATGATAAGACCTGATGTAATGTGATCACCTCCACAGTGGGATCTGCTATGAGTAGCCTATCAGTTGAAAGGGAGTTTCCTTGAGGGTGTGGCCTGCATTCAGTATAGGTGGACTTTCTGGCAAAGCTTGCTGGCTTTTGCTCACTCTGGATCCTGCAGCTGGCTCCTGTTCATCGGGCCTCCAGTTCTTGGGACTTGACCAGCAGCTTGCCTGTCAGTCTTGGGATTTGTCAGCCTCTGTGGTCTGGATCTTGGGTTTGCCAGCCCCGGCAGCTACCTGAGTCAGGAGAAGCCTCCAGCCTGACCCACAGACTTGAGACTTTCCAGCCTCTACAACCTCGTGAGCCATCTCCTTAATTGATATCTCTTTCTCTCTCCCTTTCTATATATATTTGCTGTTGTTGTTGTTAGGCACTGTCGAGTTGGTTCTGACTCATAGCTACCATATGTACAACAGAACGAAACAGTGCCCGGTCCTGCACCATCCTCACAATCATTACAATCATTGTTATGCTTGAGTCCATTGTTGCAGCCACTGTGTCAATCCATCTTGTTGAGGGTCTTCCTCTTTTTCGCTGACCCTCTACTTTACCCAGCATGATGTCCTTCTCCAGGGACTGGTCCCTACTGATAACATGTCCAAAGTATGTGAGATGTAGTCTGGCCATCCTTGCTTCCAGTGAGCATTCTGATTGTACTTCTTCCAAGACAGATTTGTTCATTCTTTTGGCAGTCCATAGTATATTCTGTATTGTTCACCAACACCACAATTCAAAGTCATCAATTCTTCTTCTGTCGTCCTTATTCATTGTTCAGCTTTCACATGCGTATGAGGTGATTGAAAACACTATGGCTTGGGTCAGGAGCACCTTCGTCCTCAAAGGGACATCATTTTTTTTTTTTTTAACAGTTTAAAGAGATCTTTTGCAGCAGATTTGCCGAATGCAATGCGTCTTTTGATTTCTTGACTGCCGCTTCCATGGGTGTTGATTGTGGATCCAAGTAAAATGAAGTCCTTGACAACTTCAGTCTTTTCTCTGTTTATCACGATGTTGCTTATTGGTCCAGTTGTGAGGATTTTTGCTTTCTTTATGTTGAGGTGTAGTCCATACTGAAGGCTGTGGTCTTTGATCTTCATCAGTAAGTGCTTCAAGTCCTGTTCACTTTCAGAAAGCAAGGCTGTATCATCTGCATATTGCAGGGTGCTAATGAGTCTTCCTCCAATCCTGATGCCTCATTCTTCTTCATATAGCCCAGCTTCTTGGATTATTTGCTCAGCATACAGATTGAATAAGTATGGTAAAAGGATACAACCTTGACACACACCTTTCTAGACTTTAAACCTCTATATATAAAAAGAGGTTTAAAATATATATATATATACATATATATATACACATATACATACACACACACGCTTCACTGGTTTTGCTTCTCTAGAGAACCCAGCCTAAGACATTTGGTACCAAGATGGGTCCTTCGAAAATGAAGGATCAAGGATCAGTTATTGCACCCGGCCCCTCTCACAGCTAAAAAGGAGGCTGTGATGGTTAAGGTTGTGTGTCAGCTTGGCTGGGCCATGATTCTCAGTGGTTTGGCGGTGATGACATAGTTTACAGTTGTCGTATAATGGTGTAATCACTTCCATGATGAGATCGGATATAATGTGATCACCTCCATTATGGGTTCTACTGTGAGTAGCCGATCAGTTGAAAGGGAGTTTCCCTGAGGGTGTGGCCTGCATCTAATATAGGTGAAATTTCTGGCAAAGCTTGCTGGCTTTTGCTCACTGTGGATCCTGCAGCTGGCTCTTGTTCATCTGACCTCCAGTTCTTGGGGCTTGAGCTAGCAGTTTGCCTGCTGATCTTGGGTTTGCCAGCCCCTGCAGCTACCTGAGTCAGGAGAAACCTCCAGCCTGACCCACACACTTGGGACTTTCTAGCCTGTACAAACGCGTGAGCCATTTCCTTGATGTAAATCTCTCTCCCTCTCTCTCTCTCTCTGTGTGTGTGTGTATGCGTATACATACATATGTATACGTATGTCATGGATTGAATTGTGTCCCCCAGAAATATGTGTATCAATTTGACTGGGCCATGATTCCCAGTATTATGTGATTGTCCACCATTTTGTCATCTGATATGATTTTCCTATGTGTTATAAATCCTATCACTATGATGGTAATGAGATGGATTAGTGGCAGTTATATTGATGAGATCTACTAGATTGTGTCTTAAGCCAATCTCTTTTGAGATATAAAGAGAGAAGTGAACAGAGAGACATGGGGACCTAATACCACCAAGAAAGCAGTGCCAGGAGCAGAGCGCATCCTTTGGTTCCTGCGCAAAGAAGCTCCTAGTCCAGGGGAAGATTGATGACAAGGACCTTCCTCCAGAGCCTACAGAGAAAGCCTTCCCCTGGAGCTGATGCCCTGAATTTGGATTTCTAGCCTACTAGACTGTGAGAGAATAAACTTCTGTTTGTTAAAGCCATCCACTTGTGGTATTTCTGTTACAGCAGCACTAGATGACTCAGACAACACATATATATATATACACACACACAAATATATATATATATGTATATATATAGACACTTCATTGGTTTTGCTTCTCTAGAGAACCCAGCCTAAGACACCTGCTAACCCTACTCATGCATCCTGGGACTGGGGCCTGGGAGTCTGCATTCTAACAAGTACCCTGGTAATTCTGATGTACCACACCAGTCGGGAAA